AAACCACAGTTAAATAATTTGTTTTTGATTTTTCTATAAAGTTGGCTAATATTCTAATTATATGTGGTTTTAAATTGTTTCGATTTTTGAAAACCGAATTATATAAACCAATCCAACCAAATTGTAATTTGGTTGGATCGGATCGGATATAAATTTAGTTTGGACTATTCAGATTTATGTTTTGAAAACTGAAATCACACTACTAGAAAAAGGTGGAGTTTCCTACAAAAATTTCTTAGGACCAGAAATTTCTCGCTACTTCCTACTCATTACCGAGGAACTTCCGAGGAAAACGTCTTTCTGGAATTTTCTTAGAATTTCCTCGGTAATAAATCGGAAATACCGAGAAATTCTTTGCCCTCAGAAGTCCCTCGGAAGTTCCTACGCTTTTCCTAGGAAATAAATATATATTTAACGTTCCTAGGTAGTTCATCGATAGTTTTTTTTATTACCATTTATTATTATAAACAAATCATATCATTTTTTCAAATATGCCAAATAGCTTCACATTTACGTTAGAAGTGTGTCACTTAAGTGGTTCCTAGGAAATTTTTGAACCAAGATCTCTCACCAAACATGTTAAACTTTTACTAATTGTCTTAGGAAGCCCCTCGGAAGTTCCTACACGATTCCTAGGAAATAAATATATATTTAAAGTTCATAGGAAGTCTCTCAGAAGTTCCTACGCTTTTCCTAGGAAATAAATATATATTTAATGTTCCTAGGCAGTTCCTCGATAAATTTTTATTACAATTTTAATATTAAACAAATCATATTTTTTTAGTATGCCAAAGAGCTTCACATTTACGTTGGAGTGTTTCGCTTAAGTGGTTCCTAAGGAGTTCCTCGGAAGTTCCTACGCTTTTCCTAGGAAACAAAGAATATTTTCATTCTTATTATCATATTTTGTATAACTTTATTGCATATTATATAGCTTTATCTTACAAAGTTACACATATTATACACATACACAACCATACATATGTACACATACATATATATATTTACACTAGCAAACAAATGTCTTGAGTAATGAGTTATGATGGTGTACACACATGTATGTATGTATATATTGTGTATAACTTGGTGAAATAAAAGTAATTAATGCATAATGAAGTGGAAGAAAATATAGAACGAAAAAATATAGTTTGAGCATCAATAAATGAAAAACAAATGATGTCCCTAGGAAGTCTCTTGGAAATATGTAGGGAATACCGAGAGATTTCCTACGCAATACAAAATTTGTCACTTATCCATTGGAAATGCGTAGGTACTTCCAAGGGATTTCCTAGGACCAAAACTCGTTTTTTATTTTTTCAAGGTTTAAATGTTGTTTTTTTTTTCATATTTTGTACAACTTTGTTATACATTAAATACTTTTATCTTACCAAGTTATACATATTATACACATATACATACATATAGATTTATAATGGTAAACGAATGTTTTGAGTAATGGGTTCTGATGGTGCGTATGCATGTATGTATGTATATATTGTGTATAACTTGGTAAAATAAAAGTAATTCATGTATAATGAAGTCAAACAAAATTTAGAACGAAAAAAACATCGTTTGAACATCAAAAAATGAAAAACAAATTATGTTCCTAGGAAATCGCTTGACAAGCACAAATAGTTGAATCATGAGACACAATAGTAATAACTATCCTGACAATCAGCCCAATTCACCAAATGCTCGTTATGTTATTTTAGTAAATATTTTTATGTTTTTCTAGATATTTTTATTATGTTTTGTGGTTTAGATGATTGTTAAAACTTGTTTTGTTTGTATAATTTTTAGATAGATTTATTGTTTTTGTGTATGAATTTCATATAGGATTTGGTCATTTGTATTTATTTATTTATTGATTTTTATTTTTATTTTTGTTTTGCATTTTGGCCAATAAAATTTTCAACTTTTTTAACTTTTTTTTAAAGCTACATATTTCCTAGGAAATTCCTAGGAATCTTCTGTCACCAAAAGTGTCACAAAAAACTATCAAAAAGATATGGTCCTAGGAAATTTCTCAGAAATATATTTTCTAGGAAATCCCTCGAAAATATATTTCCTAGGAAATCCCTCGGAAAAGCATTTACTAAGAAAATCCTCGCAAATATATTTCATAGGAAACTTCTTAGAGAAATTTAGCCTTGGAAATGCCTCGGGACTTCCGACAAAAAATATCTCCTCGGAAATGCCTTGGAAGTTTCCTCGGAAATCCCTCACAAAAAATTTCCTAGGAGGGTTTTACCTACGCACAACTTTTCCTCGGTATTTCCTCGGAAACACCTATTTCCTAGGAATTTCCGAGGAAAATGTCCCTCGGAAATTGCGTGTTTTTTTAGTAGTGTCAATTTGGATTCACTTGATTGAATCGGATCGAACTGATTCATCCAAACGAACACCCCTAGGTAAAAATATTGATTATAAATAAAGAATTGAGATAAAAACACCGAAAGCTCCAAATAAAAATATTTTTCTACAAAGTATTTAAAAGAATATATTATATAGAAAATAGGTTCTCGTTTTAAATGGAGTTTTTGACATTTTAAGTTATAATTCAATATATATGATCTTACTTTGTTATGTTTCAAAATATTTTGATAATTAAATATATATTTTATTATTTAAAACTTGTTACGAGACAATAACTTGATTTGTTAAAAATATGATGATGAAATATTATGATCTTTAATCCTATCTTTTATGATTTTAAAAATATAATGATCCAAAACTTGATTAGGTTGAATATGTTAAGATCAGATCCAAAATCATATGAACTTTATTTTGGTTGAAAATGATTTGATATATAATATTATTATTCAAAATATAAATGATCTTTAAGTCTTATCATCTAAAAGTTATTATAATTCAAAATGTTATGACTAAAAAATGAAATGATTATAATTCAAAATGTTAATTCTTAAATCTCTTATGCTTCAAATTTTTTATTATTCTTAAACCTCGTCGAAAATTATGGCTCCCACCACGAAATCAAACCTGAAGGGGATCGTTCAGAACCCCTGGATGCTCGAGATTGGGATTGCAGTTTGCTCAAGTGGAGCCACCGCCAATGGTTTTTCCTATGACTACCAGAAGAAAAAAAAACAAATGATGGTATATCACGTAGGCTGTTCCGAAAATTTTGGTGAAATTACCAACTTTATGGTACGACCATTTAAATTCGACAACTTAAAATGCAATTCAATAGCTTAATTACAAATGTGTGACTCAATTAATGTGATTGATTTTGAGTGGTCGTATTTTTATAATATGGTGATACAACTTGTACCGCGTTACGTATGATGGAGGATCATACATAGAATGCGTATAGGAATGTTTAACGATGGAGTTTAATACAACTTAAGAAAAAGTGTTGGCATGTCACATGTGCGGCATGTGCCACTCAACAATTCCAGATTATACATAATATTTGTTTTCTTTATAAAGTTTAATAGTATATTAGTATTTATTACAAAACATAACATTTTATTACTAGGGACACAATAGTAAAATATTTCCCATTAATGTTGAAATTCAAATCACAGCCAAATTATATGATAAAATTATAGTACTTAAATCTGGTTGTTTGATTAAAAATAAATGGCCAAGATTAGAAAAAATTACTGACAAAATCATAACCAAATTATTCCGGTCCGTGGACAAATGTATAGTTTATAACTAGGATTTAGAAGGTATATGTATATGTTAGCCGTTCTTAAAGAAAGTGTTTTAACTCCTTGCATCCGAATTTGATGATTTAGCTTTGCATTTTCATAAATATATGACATCGGTTTTATAAGGAATAAAAAGTATAATGATAAAAAAAAGAATCCAATTCGTTTTTATAAGAAAACAATGATTTATGTATCTCAAAAGCAAAACATGTATAAATATCAGTGTTGCAGAAATCGGCCTAATCGGCCGATTAATCGCTAATCGGACCTCCACCGATGAGATTTATTGCTAATCGGTCATTATAATCGGGCTTGGTCAATGCAAGTGAAAGTCGGAATTAATTGGACCTAATCAGACTTAATCGGACCTAATCGGGTTTGGTCATGTCAAAGTCAGACCTAATCGGACCTAATCGCCGATTAATCGGACCTAATCGGACCTAATCGGGTTTGGTCATGTCAAAGTCAGACCTAATCGGACCTAATCGGGTTTGGTCATGTCAAAGTCAGACCTAATCGGACCTAATCGCCGATTAATCGCTTATTTTGGAGGATTAGAGTTAGATTTATAAATTTTTGAATAATTTTTTTAATAATTAATGGTCCCTGATTAATCACTGCCTAGCCGATTAATCCCTAATCGATAGTCCACCGATTAGCAGCCGATTAACGATTTCTGCAACCATGATAATTATATGACAATTTTGTCGAATTTATAGGTTAAAAGCATGTTTGGGTTATATATTGTTTTTAACATACCGAACAAGTGAAATTTAAGAGCTAAAAACAGGTCAAACGGGATAAAGACAGTCTAAAGTGATTGAAATAAATATAACCTTCCGAAAATTTTCTTTATTGGAAAATGAAATCATATTATAATAATATAACTTTCAATCATATTTAACAAATTAGCTTAATTAAAAGATGAACAAAAAATTATGGGTCAACCGGCTTAATCGGACCTGTTTTAACCGGTAATAGTTGAACCGCTCTCTTCTCCGATTCCCGGTCCAACCGGTTCGACCGGCCGGTTCAAACCGGTTTTTAAAACATTGTAAATATGTAATACATCTTTGGATTTTGCTTTTATAATAATAAATCATACATCTACATGGTTAAAAGGTATTGACGCAAGCCGAGGAGAAGACTAATCAAAAGTTGATCCCAATACGAAAAATTAATTAAACTAAGAATTTTTGAAGGTTCTAAGAAAAACCAACTGGCTACATATGAATTTTAAATTATTTTCCACGTGGGCATTGCCTGTAAACCCACAATTGTAGCCTATATAAACACATCACCCATGCACCAATTCACCATAAACACCATACACATACACATACATATATACATATAACTCTACCATATACACCATACACATTACACATCACATCGCAGGGTGGGGGATGATGAGAGAAGGGTGTGTTTTTCTTTCCTTGGTGGTTCTCCTGACGCTCTGCGGTGTCAAAGTGGCGGCAGTTGGACTGCCGCCAGAGTCGGCCCCACTGATCCGCCATTACTATAAGGTCCATAATACATGTGCTAATGTCGAGCCGTTTGTTCGACAACAAGTGAAGGCTTTCATGGAGAAAGACAAGACCATAGCACCGAAGGTCGTAAAGTTGTTATATGCTGACTGCATGGTTAATGTACGTTTGTATCATTAATTTTTAATTTCCATTCTTAATACCATTATATTAAAATTTAAAATTAAAACATTTTTGAGACTAGCTTGAATGTTGACATGGCTATAATGTGTAAAATTATAGGGGTGTGATGCGTCGATTTTGTTGGATGGCCCAAACACGGAGAAAACATCGCCAAAGAACCGAGGTCTAGCAGCATTTGCGTTTATTGATATAGTGAAGAAAGTTATCGAGCAAAGGTGCCCCAGTGCAGTCTCATGTGCCGATATTCTCAACATCGTAGCTAGAGATGCCATTTATTTTGTAAGACTCATAACTATTCAATATTCACCCACTCCTTGGGATTTCATATGCTCTGTTTGTTATGACATCTAGTACAACAATTGTAATTTTTTTTATCCTACTCAAAAAAGTGACAGTGATTGAAAATAGCCTACACAAGGATAAATTCATTTACATGGGCTTAAAGCTAACAACATATATATCTCTGGTGCAAAATATACAGTCAGGGGGACCATCATACCCAGTTTTCCTTGGAAGAAGGGATGGAATGAAATCTGATGCTGCGTGGGTTGACCTCCCTTCACCTTCTATCTCGTGGGAATCGGCTCTAGCCTACTTTACATCTAAAGGTCTAAATGTGCAAGACATGACTACACTCCTAGGTACATTTAGAGTTTTTTTTTTTTTTTTTTTTTTTGTTGCAATTAATACACAGAGTGTTGGTGAGTGGTGACCCTTTGATTGTTTCTTACCTCTTTTGCTATGTTTTAATTTGGGTGGGGTTATAGGAGGACATATGATGGGTAGAACTCGTTGCAGCAGAATCTTAGACCGACTATACGATTTCAACAAAACCGGGAAAGCGGACCCCACCATGGAACCAACAACATTAAGCTACTTGCAGAAGCAATGTCCCAAGAAGGTGAAATTGGGACAACCCAACCCCCTGATAAACCTGAACCCAGAGAACCCGACACATAAGTTCACCAACTCCAACTACAAAAGAGTGTTGGCAAATAAAGCCGTATTAGGTGTGGACCAACAGTTGCGCTATGGTGGTGACACATATGAACTAACCGATCAATATGCTAATAGTCTTGCAGACTTCAAGGGCGAATTTGCTTTTTCTATGAGCAGGATGGGTGGGCTCAAGGTTCTCACTGGATCCAATGGTCAGATACGAAAGGATTGTCGTGTCGTTAACAAGTAGATTTACTTTTTTAAAACTATATATATATGTTAGATCGATATATGATCATTTTGTATCACTCATAAGTAAACTTATGATCTTGTATGAAGTTTGCAGTTAATCCTTCCATTATATATATTATTAAATATTTCCCAAACACATGTAGTATCAGCTATTTACATTGCAAGAATTACGGGTGAAAGGTCTATATATTAACTGGTTTCTTATCGTCCAGGTTGTAATCTTCAACAATGTTGAAGAAACCACTTGCTAAGGCACATAGTGTAATCAAAAGTTTCAATTAAGAAAAATAACTCAAAAAGTAAGATTCAAGAACAGATGCAACAAAATCCAATTCCAAAGATAATAATTCATGAGAATTTGCGGGACTCATCATCTTCATGTTTTAGCATAATCATTAGCAGCCCTGAGAAGTTCATGATACGTGTTAAAATTTTATTCTGAAACTAAGGTATACAAAAAAAAAAAAATGGAAAGTATTAATTAATTAAGAATATACCCGTATGTTAAAAGTACCTTGGGTAATTTCATGATGAAGGTGGCGCTTGGAGAGTTCTCTAACAAGAAGTTTATAACTTCAGTATACATTTTTACTTTGTATGCATCCTTGTAGTCTATAGTCAAGCAGATTAAGTTGCTAAAAGGTGATAGATAGTGCGATAATAAATCCGGAAATGAGGAAAGACACTGCACAAAAATGACAAGAAACATATACATAAAAGATGCATAAAAAAATATAGATTCTTTTTTATGTCATAAACTGCTTATATGATATCAACATATATACCTCAATAATGTCTGCGTTAAGTGTTAGATATCTGACACTATGGAGCTTTAGAAGCATGTTAATAATCTTGCGTGCATCTCCCACTTTATACCTGATGATTGAATGATAATTAAACAAACCGATAGTGGCTTTGTTCAGAGAGTGAAACCCAACTTTACACAACCGCATAAGAGGATAACCCGTGTAGCACAATGATGAAAGTCCTGGTGGAGCTTTTAAGTAATTAATTGAGCAATCAGTTATTGTGAGATTCTCAAGTTGAGGCGCAATCACATTGATGAGTTTGAAACCACTGCCATAGATAAGCCTGAGATTACAAAGTCGAGGGGCAATGATGTCAAATACCTCCAGATCATCCTCAACAACGAATTGTTCTACAGTGAGGTCCTTTAAGGATACACACTTGGAGAAAAGATCACCACACAACTCGATGCCACTGAGATGCAAAGTTGTTAAAGCTGGAAAATCCAAAGGTGTTTCGAGTATAATGCGAGTTGGCGTAACATGGCAACTAAATGTGAAATGTTTAAGCGATTGAGAGCTAAGTAGGCAAGGAGGGTAATTTACAAGGTTGCTTACGGGCCAAGTAACAACATTTAGTTGTTGAACATTGTGAGAGAATGCATATTTTGCAATCTTTTTCAACAAAAGATGATTAGCTGCTCCTCCAAGGAAATTTAGGTTTATCGAAGAAACTAGTGCTGGATGATTGTGGTGAGACAGAATATGAGTTACGAATTTGGCAAAATTACATAAAGTACCAAACTGCCAACTTGAGAAGTTGAGACAAGGCATTGATGTCCATAGAAGCTTCCATCTTGATGACAACAAACACGTTTGAACAGCAAATTTCATGCCAAAACAAGATAGGATCTTATGAATAACCTCATCTGGCAAGCTGCTTAATCTATCTTCTTCTACCACTCGTCTAACTTTGTTGTGATCAAACTCCATTATCTACTATATATAACCTCGTTAAGGATATGCAGTTAAGCACGTACAAATGATAGTCTGCACATCATAATGTATAATTTAAATTAATTACTTGGATAGTAGAGAACAATACTTCTTGTACATGGTGAGTCCTAATGCAACTGTATATGTTACTTTGACCAAAATAGATTTTGAAATGATGGAACTCTGCTTTCTTACATGTTCTGCTAATGAAATTAAGAATCCAAAAAGGTGGCAAAATTCTACATCCTACAGTGACTTTTCCGTTTCTAACTATAATACAACTATACAAGTGATACATGAATGATGAGATAGGAAATCTGATTTAGAACTCTAAGAACAGATAATCCCTAATTCCGTCTTAAGAAACTAATAGTAGGATCACCATTTAACAGGTAGTATAACTAGACGAACATTTAATAATGTCAAATGGGTAAATTAAGCTACTTCAAAACTCAATAAGAATTCTTTTGATTACAGATAAAAACGACAATCGACAACCATCACCATAAAAAGAACAATTTAAAACCAAATAAATCAAGGCGTCAATCTCAGAATTAAGGTTAGAACTTCTGAAAATCAAGACGGTATCTTTTCTTGGACACAGGTCGCAGTCTTTTGTTAGGAATGCAGTATGGATATAGATATTAAATACTCCTCACATCAGTGAAATCAGCATACACTCGCTACAGCAGTCAAAGGCTTGCTTTTTTAATAATCTCTTAATCTATCAACATCCAGTCAACTGCGCTAATGATTCGTTAAAACTTCGAAAGTAAATCATCCCGAAAGGAAGAAACTCGAATGCTGTGATCTCTAGATTGTGAAATTATCAAATGGAAATCAATAAATCTATGCGTGGACGATGAAAGACTAGGGTTTAAGAGAGACGTACCTCTTGCTTTTCGAAAGGCGAATTTCCTGCTAAACCCTAAAACGTAATAGAAACCCACATTTGCTATTGTCATAGGGCTGGAGTAAGCAGGACGAAAAGAAGAGAGGTCCAAAAATTCAGACGTCCAAGAAATTTCGCCCATATTCGCCATAATTCTGATCACACGTGGCATGCACATCATTAACAATAAACAATTTCGATTTATTTATTTATTAGTTACTAGTTTATAACATATGGGACGGTTATAAAATTAATTAAATTTTTATAGTAAAAACTTAAAATTATTAATCAGTTATTTTAAATAAATTATTAGTTTAAGAGATATTTTTATTAGTTATGTGAAATTATAATCGTTGATTCAAATAAATATGTAAAATTAACTTTTAATATATATTAGACACTTTTTATTTGTGAACCAATGAAAACAATAATATAAAATTTAAATTTTAAAATAGAGAATAAATACATTGACAAATAGCATCATATTAATGAGGAAGTATAATAAATTTAAAATGGAGAACTAATAGATTGAGAAGTGGCAACACATTAATTAAGATGTCTAATATGGTGACACATGACAAAAAAAACTACTCTTTTATTAGTATAGGGAGATGAGACCGATGTATTACATGAGTTAATTTAAAAAAAAATTAAATATAAAAGTCAAAATATTTTAGAATTTTGAATTTATAAGAAAATAAGAAAAATAATAAATTATTATAATGGACATGTTTTTATCTTTTAAATTTAAAGAAATAAAAGAAATTAATGAGTTTTAATTTTGGGAATTTTGAAATTAAAAAGTAAGTTAATTAATGAAATCGATATTCATTTATTACTATATTTATTATAATTATTACATTAAAATATTATGTGAAATTTAATAAAATAGGAAAACTCATAAAATGACATGTGGAAAAAAATTAATTCAAAATAACCACAAAATGACATTTGGCAAATTGAATGAGAGTGTGACAAGTGACAAAAAAAACATTCATTTATTAGAGAGGAGAATGTTAAGATAAAATATTGAATTTTTTTAATAAATAATAAAAAATTTATGATTCTACTTCCGATTTTTATTTATACCCGATCCAAATATGATTATGATTTTTTAGTAAGGTAAGATCGTAGGAACAACTTTTAGTAAGGTAAGATCGTAGGAACGTTGTTCCTACGATCTTACCTTACTAAAAAATCATAATCATATTTGGGTCGTTTAAATAAAAATCGGAAGTAGAATCATAATTTTTTAATTATTTATTAAAAAATTCTAATATTTCATCTTAGAAATTTAAAAATCGGTTCGAACCGTCCGGTTTTTAACCATAATCATGATCACGATTTTAATCAGTGTTTTTAACCAGAATCGGTTGGGCCGGGAATCGGGAACAAGAGCGGTTCACAAAGGTCGGTTTTATGCTCAGTTCTAGACCGGATTGAACCGATAGTTTCTTAAAAAACCAGGTTGAACCGGTGTGATAGCACATGTAAAAAACCATTTGAATTCGCTTATTGGACTTGGATAGTTGAAGTTCACTTAGCCCATTAAAAAAACAATCAATTTCCAAAGAAAACTTAATAGCTCAATTGATCATGTTATCTTGAGTGTTTACGACTCGAATGCCGACACACACCACTGTCAAATATAGATCGACAGTATAACCGGTTGAACCGATAACAAATCATTAGATCTATTCAATTAAAAACCGGTTTTTAAAACATTGATTTTAACAACCTTGTACAAGTTTATATATGATGTGACATTACAATACTTTAAGCTTCAAAATAAGGTCCAACATTGCACTTCAAAATAAGAATGCATGTGAACAAAATAATTAAGAATTAGTAAGAATACATAATCATGACAACATACATATGCTTGGATTACAATCTATATTTGTGAACAAAATAATTGAGAATTAGTAAGAATGCATAATCATGACTAGGGGTGCTCAAAAATATCCGCACCCGAACTTCCGAACCGAAAAACCCGAAGATCCGAAACAAAATTATCCGAAAATTCGGATATCCGGAATTTCGGATATCCGAAAATCGTATATCCGAATTTTCGGATTCGGATACGGATATTAGTTTTGTTAGTTTTCGGATATTTCGGATATCCGAATATCCGAAATAAAATGCATATTCATTTTTAATTATTTGTTTTCAGTATATACGTATGCATATCTTTTAAATAGAGTGGGGGTATATTAATTTTTAACCTTCAAAATATAACATGTTAGCATTATTATTTGGTTCAGTTGCGCTAACAAACCCAAGTATATGGTCATCTTTCCCTCTACAGACGGCTCTACTAATCGGACCAATATGTAGTGATTAGTTAAACTTACAAATTATATATGTGGTAAAGTTAATTTATTAGACATTATCCTCCTCGTTCTTGGTGTGAACACAACTAATGTTGTGAGGGGTGCTTGAATGAATTTGGAATATGTGTAGTAAGGAATGCAATATATGTTTTAATATTGAAACTTCATAACAATTAACAAAGAACTCGAGACATCTGAATTTCGGAACAATGGCAGTGGTGAATTTTTTTTGGTTTCATTTTTTTCAATCTCAAATTTTAGAAACTTTGAATTTTCGGATATCCGATTTAGAATCCGTATCCGTATCCATATCCGAACTTCGGATATCTGAATTTTCGGATACGGATTCGGATATCAAAAATCAACTATCCGAATTTTCGGATATCCGAATTTTCAGATATCCGGTTTTGAACACCCCTAATCATGACAACATACATATGCTTGGATTACAATCTATATTTGTCAGAGTCCTTCCTTGTTTCAATTTCATCCCTTTTATTATTCAGTCAAACTTGGCAAAAGAAAAAAACCATTTGAACACCAATAAAAATTGTGTTAAGATTTCAAGCAAAAAAAATCCATATACCTTTAAAAAATAAAGAAAGCCGAATATTTTCCTTGTTTATTGACTTTATTTGCAATGTACACTTATACTTTTCCACGTTAAAGCAAAAAAAAAAATCGAAAAGATTTTTTACCATCCATCATCTATGAAAAGTTTGTGAAGAAAAATGATTCTAAAGTATTTCCACAAACTCTGTATTCTTTTGATTTTCATTGCGCATCCCATGCATTCCGATTTCACCACCCAAATGGAAACATGTACATGCTAGGTTGTGTTTGGTAACATCCCAAGATTTGTCATTTATAGTCCCTGGGGATGGAAGGGTGAAGCCATGAAAAGCCTAAGCGCTAAATTGCAATTTTGGGATCAGGAGGAGTACGCTGCGCGTACATAAGGGTACGCTGAGCGTACTAGGCGCGCCATAGTATGCTGGGCGTACACTTGTGTACGCTGGGCGTACTCATGACAGAAGGAAACGCTAATATTTAGGGTTTGAGTGTTATATAAACATCCTTATGAGCTCATAACCCTCCCTTACCTCAGCTTCCACAGTTTTGAGCCGTTTTCCCCAAACCCTAATCCTTTCCTTGAGTATGTGAGCTTTTAGAGTGTGTTTTGAGTAGTTGGAGAAGAAGGGTTGCATCAAGAAGTTGGAGAAGAAGGACAAGCTTGTAGATCTGAAGTTTCTTTGTGATCTAGAAGCTCCATAAGGTAAAAAGATCCAAACTTTATGCTTGTATGAGGTAGATCTTGCCATGCTAGCTTTATGGAACCATTTCTTGTCCCATAAGTCCCAAGTTGGTGCAAGTTATGATTTGGACGAGATGAGCTGTCCTTTAAGACCTTAGAGAGGGTCCTAAGTGATAAAAATGAGGTTCCAATGGATTAGGATGTCCCATGCATGTAGTAGAAAGGTCTTAATGGATTAAGAACACGCATTAAGAGTTTTCTGGACGTCCAAAGTGTTAAAGTTCGAGACTTTATGATTATTAGGCATATTTGGTCGATGGATCTGGAATTTGGGCTTAAGTGCTTAAGCCATTAAGCACTTATTGGGGTTTTGGCAAAACCTCGCGTACACCCCGCGTAAATTCTGTACGCCCAACGTACTGAGTCAACCACCCCGATGGTGGTCAACACAAAACGAAGTACGCCCAGCGTACCAGAGGAGTACGTCCCGCGTACGCCCTATGTTGGGCTTTTGACGAATTGGGCTTCAGATTGGGCCGCTTTTGGACTCATTGGACTTGGGCCTTGCTGGGCTTTCTGAATAATGGTGTTTTGGGCCAGTTTTTGAATTTGGATCTTGGAATAAGGCCCAAATAGGGAGTTGGGCCCAATTTGGAAAATTGAGCCAATAATGGGCCTTGCATATGTGGACTTGTGGATCATGGATTTGGTATTGGGCCTTGGCCCAAATTAGAGGAAAGGCAAAATGGACTATTATCATAGGTGGGACTCTTGGTCAAATTAGTATTCCCATTTATTGACTTAATATTCGTTATTTTGGATAGTTCGGGATTTTTGGTGAGACAGCGATTCAGGAATTCGATTCTTCAGTTCAGATCGACATTGCGAGGTGAGTTATCCTAACTATACCCAAGGGTCTAAGGCACCAAGGCCAGCCCTTTGAATTATTACTCGGATTGTTGCTATTATGGTAGGTTAGATCGATATCCTGGTAGATAGGATGGTTATGCTTAATGACCTGTAGTTTGGTCTGACTGTCTGTATGCTGGTAGGGGATTACCTGTTATATGTGCACATGATTGATTGGTAGTTGAGGGTATTCCATCCCGAGGATCATAGGACCCTAGTATGTTGTCTCTATAGACTGTTATATGATTATCTGATATAGGTGCACATGTTTGATTGGTTATGGGCATTCCAACCCGATGGTTGTGGGCCGAGAGTATTCCATCCCGAGGATGATTGGACTCGTAGTATATGAGCATTCCAACCGGATGGTTGTGGGCCGAGAGTATTCCATCCCGAGGATGATTGGACTTGTAGTATATGGGCATTCCAACCCGATGATTGTGGGCCGAGAGTATTCCATCCCGAGTATGATTGGACTCGTAGTATATGGGCATTCCAACTCGATGGTTGTGGGCCTGGGGTATTCCAACCTGATGGTTGACTGGACCCATAGTATGTTGGAATTCCGACCCGATGGTTGAGGGCCTAGGGTATTCCAACCCGATGGTTGATTGGACCCATAGTATGCTGTTTGTTATTGTATGT